CCATCCTGTAGACCCACCAGATATCAACTCGGATGCATTCGACCTTCCGGTGCTCCCCATCTCTGACCTCCTCAATCTCGCACATGAACAGCGTCTTGATCCAGTCCTCCAAGGCATCAATAACGGCATGACGGCTGGCACACATCTTTCTTCTTGCGGCCTCTATTGTCTCCATAATCAAGTTCTTTACAGACAAAACTTTAGACCTGACGGACTACCCTGGCTCCTCGTTATCCCAAAACAACTGCAGACAAGCATCCTTCAGCAATTACACGACGCCCCATCCTCTGCCCATCTAGGAGTCGTCCGGACCTATGGTAAAGTAAAACAACGGTTTTACTGGCCCGACCTCTATCGATGTGTCAAACGATACGTTCCTTCCTGCAACCTCTGCCAGCGCCGGAAAAAGCCGCCTTCCCGACCACCCGGACTCCTGCAACCACTACACCCGCCTGAAACCCCATTTCAACGCCTGGGCGTGGACCTACTCGGTCCTTTCCCTTTGTCATCGGCGAGAAACCGGTGGATAGCAGTGGCGGTCGACCATACAACTCGATACGCAATAACGTGAGCACTTCCCACGAGCACTGCAGTCGACATCGCTCAGTTTCTTTTACAAGTTATCTTAAAGCACGGAGCGCCTAGTGAACTTCTCACCGATCGAGGACGCGGCTTTCGGTCATGAGTCGTGGAAGAAGTATTACAGTCCTGTTCTATACTTCACAAGGTGACCACCGCCTATCACCCTCAGACAAATGGATTAACTGAACGATTTAACCGTACACTCACCGACATGTTATCCATGTACGTCTCTTCAAACCACACCAACTGGGACACAGCACTGCCTTTTATAACCTTCGCTTATAACTCTTCCCGTCACGATACAACTGGCTTCACACCTTTTTACCTCCTCTTCGGCCGTGAACCCCGGTTAATGCTCGATACTCTCCTTCCTCTACAACCTCATGCTTCACTTACCGCCTACACAACTGATGCAGTCAGTCACGCCGAAGAAGCCCGGCAGTTAGCGAGAATTCGTACCCTTGATTCTCAAGAACGCCAGTGTGCACGTTACGATCACAGTCACAGAGTCGTTACATTCTCACCCGACGACCTTGTTTTGCTCTGGACTCCGCAACGCCGTGTCGGACTAGCCGAAAAACTCCTCTCTCGTTACACTGGGCCTTACCGCATTCACCGCAAACTAAGCGACGTCACCTACGTGATAGAATCAATCCACCCAAACGACACCGGCCGCAACAAACAACGTCAAACCGTCCACATCCTACGCCTCAAACCATTTTTTACTCAGTGACATCACGACCACCTTCAACTCAACGACGAGGCGTCGTTTTCTACCTGGGGGGGGGTAGTATTACGAGGATAAAGAAGAGGTGGTCGGGCAGCGATTTGAAGGAGAGAAGAAGAAGAGGATCAGTAGTTTTTGCTTTGCTGGCAACGGATACTGTCACCTCTATTTTCTACCATCTCAATCACCTGTAAATAAACCCCATTTTCACCGTAACAATGTTTGCCGGTAAATGTTGAATCGCTTCATTATCAAGCGAAACTCAGATACAAGCGAAATGAACGGTACAAATTCATAATGTTTACCAGCAAAAATTTGAATCGGTCCATTAACAAACAGAACTCACTCAAGGGCTCTCCGCACCATTTGATCTTCGTTGATTTAGTTTCCGAAATTACAATTAGCAGTGGAATCAAAATGAAGCCTGGTGCGTGCCAAGAAGTCACCATAGCAGCAGACCCCGGAAGCAGGAATGCTCTTCACATCTAGCAGGTTGTTTCTTTCCGCTCACATTTCCCGCTACGAAAAACCTGCCACATCACCGTTACTCCATCTCAAAGGGTGCAACGAAGAAGTGCGACCAAGGCCGTTTGTCTTTGCGCACCTGCTGCAAACTTCCGCTACTCGCCAAAAAAACATAAAAAAACAACATGCAAAAAGGTCCTTGCGTTACGTCACTGTGCAAATCCTCGAAGGATGATTGAACGCATTTTGATCTGGGTACTCTGGAGGAACTTGACAGAACACCGGCTGTATGAAAAAGAAAAAAAGAAGTGATTTTTGCACCAGAAAAAGAAACTGCACGTGCCCGAACGCCTAGTCTTCGCCGGATTGCAACTCTAGCGATTGAAACCAGGTGGCAATGTTTAAGAACTTACAGTTCATAAGCCAGTGCATTATTTCCAAAAATGTTCAATAAACAAGGAGGCACGTTTCCGGTAGCAGACGCCATTCATCTCCATCTGCTCAGGCTTCAGCGGCTGCTATATTTGCATTAAAACTTTATGAAAATAGCTTAGAACTTTTGAATTAGATAAAGGTGAGTGCTGAAACTTAGTGATACGTTTCCAGCCGCTAAAACTACATTTTGGAGGCGTCTGAGCGTCGGGCGACGTGTATCTTAGTTTTGCGGTGAAAAATACAGTTGTCTTTTTTTCCAAAACACCCGGTACATTGATTTAGGAATCAAACATACACGTTACGACACACATGTTCAGTGTGGCATAAAACGCGATTTATTGTAACACTTTTGCATATCAAGAAAAAAAAAATTCCCTCAGTACACAGGGGCTCTTCGCCAGGTTTAAGATCATTGCATAGAGCAGAACCGTACACATTCCATTATTAAACGTAAATAAAAAAAAGGCATGTCGATCTTTTTGTTGTCCACGTGGCTAGCCTCTCATAACCGTCAAATACTTTTTTAACTTTATAATGTTTAACATCCCATTCAAAACTTGCGCAGTAACTGGATTAAGGGTGGACGCGCTCTGTCTGGGATATTTAGCAGGGGATTGCTAGCAAGCATACAAAACGCAGACATAAAAATACAAGAAAACGTGTTTATTAGATTGAACGATAGCTTATGTTTGAGACAGAAATAACGTCTTCAGTCAATAAATGTTATATCCACTGTAAGCCTGCGCATTGCTTTTGTATATGCTGACAAATCAGAACCCACCACATCTTGATGTTCTCGAACCGAAGAGCTGGTTCCGAATTTAAGGAAAATACTTATGGGCCTAGTTCTTAAAGGCCGCTTCTTGAGTCAGAATTCGACACGGCTCTGTGTAGTAGAAATAGTACGAAGCCCTCAGAGCTGTGAAAACCTGTGTAGTTATTTAGGCAGTCAATTCTGAACATCTGCGATGTTGGTCTTGCTCTTAACGTCATCTCTGAGAGGTTGAGTGTGGCATAAAACGCGATTTGTTGTAACACTTTTGCATATTGAAAAAACAGAAACAAAAACTTTCCCTCGTACACCGGGGGTCTTTTTTTTCCAAGCTTCGCTCCTAAACGTGGAGCGTGAACTAAAAAGGGAAAACATGCTGTATACTATTGCACATGAGGAAAAAACATCTTCGAGGTATTTATTTCCATCCGGATATATTAACTAATTTTTATGAATGTCTTTCTCTTGTCTCGTGCATTTCCTTCTATCAAACACGTATTTTGAAAGTCACGAATCTAGAATGAATGTTTTTGTCCCTAATACAAATCACGCCTTTAAATACTGTGGCGGCCATCTTGAATGACTAAAAATTGGGTTTCAATTTCTTTAGAGATATTTAGTGAAAAATTAATTATAGGAGGGTGATCGGTTTCTATCGCATGCTCAATGCGATATGAAAGAAGGGAACGTAAAGTCAGGATGTGGGTTATTATCTCTAGAAGCAACTCACAGGACACTAATAAGAAGGGACAACGTTTGGTCGATAATTTAGGTCCCCAGAGTTTGGTACCCGACTCCTCACCTGGTAAATTGCACCTGCACCCTTCGGTAAAAACATAATGCTAGACCCTGCATGCAATCACATTATTTGCTACATTTGCGTGTAAATATTTATTTCACTTGCGACAACGATACTGAAGGTGTCCCAGTGTAGTAAGACGAAACTTCCATCACTCCTGAAAGGGTGCTCAGACGTCTTTCTTTTTAGCCTTGAGCGATACGTGTATATATAAAAAAAATGTATATATATATATAAGACTCCAGAAACACAATATTGCCAAGAGTCAGTCACCAGCCTAGGCATGACTATGTTTAACCGCATCCAGATCATGTGCGGCGTTACGTTCTGTTTACCATTTCGTCGTTTACCCTGAGACTGAGGGTTTCTGTTACTTCTGCTCTTCAAAAAAAAAAAAAAAAAAAACCCAGTCTCAGGGTAAACGACGAAATGGTTGACTTCCACCAGCTAGCCTGTACTTTGACTCTTTTCACGTTCTGTTTATTTCTCTGTGGATCGTCGTTCGCCGGCGTTCTACAGCACAAAGGTCATTTTGTGTCACCAGTCATTACTTTATAACAATGGTTACATTGGCTCATATTAAACGCCTGTTTTGGGGACTTGAAGAAACTAATCGGCCAATTAGAGATCGTAAAATATTCTGAGTCAATCAATAAATATTTCAAGGAACATTTTTTAAAGTAATATTTTAAGCTGCAGCATGCATATGGGCACCTGGTGGTTGTCTAGGCTGACTTTAACTAGCGAAATATTAATTACTTCTCACTCAATGACATCGAAGAAAAATGCCCATGGAATCACTAAAACATTTAGCTCTCTCGGAAACCTTCTCTACGAAAATTCAAAACGCTTTTTTGAGCTTCACTGGGAATATTTGTTTTAGTTATCTTTACCAGCTCTTGCTGCGCTTATTTCCAACTTAACTACCTACACGGACTAGAATAAACTGGACGTCAATGCTAAATGACCTGATTTTTGTGGTTACAATGTAACCACAAAAAATGGTTGACTGAATGACCCAGTAACGCATGTATGCATATATATTCTTAATTGCAACTCAATAATGTTGCCCCATTCTGACGTCCCAGTTTCGGATTTTTACTTTCTCATAACGTCACATGATATTTGAAAGTAAATCTCGGTGTTCCTGATTACGCTTCGAGTGGCTTTTGATGAACACTGTCCAGGATAGTGTAAATTTGTGTGCATGCTCCCCCGCGTTATGCGAAACTCTCTCCCTGGTGCGTTCTGTGAGCAGCGTTAAACTTTTGTAGTTCTCCCCGGATGGCGTTGATGACCGTCTGCGTCGGTTTGTGAATGTCGGTGACTGCCGGCGGATGTGTCTTGTTGTCCGTACCAACGCTCAATCCAGAAACGTGTCGGCCATTCCGGCCCTCCTGGAAAAAAATCAAATATGACAAAAGTCAATTTCCTTGACGTTGGCAGTTTTTTTGCTGAATTTCAATTATATCCAGGTGTTTCCCGCGGGATAAAAAGCAAAGCTCCTATGAATTATTTGTGCTTAATTCATGCCGTGTAGAAGACTGGATACACTGTCGACCAAAAGGTATCTTGAATCTCGCCAAATGATTCTAGCATGTCGCACATTACGCTGTACAACACAATTACACTTACAAAACTGGAAGAAAAACTTGCAATTGACGGCATGTTTGTTCTGCTCTTGTCTTTTTTGGTTCCATATTTTCTGTTTCAAAAATAAACACCACAGTTGTTACCAGCGATATTTGTCTATGTCAAATGACATGCACGCAAAAATCGACATGATTAAGGAATAACAAATTATTATCCATTGCAACGACATATCCCCGCTCAACTGATTTGGGAAATATTAGTCCTCCGCAGGTTTGTGCGCAATACATTTTTAGGTATTTGTCTTGGCGATCGATTGTCGACAATGCGACTGAATCAACACTGCTACTCATCAGAGCTAACTTATATGAAAGATGAGGGTCGCTCGCCCTTTTATCTTGGATGACTGAAAGGTTACTGTCAAGAACATGACTCCGGGCTCGCACGGTTCTAGTTTTATTGGAAACAAATGCCGGATTTGCTGCAACCGGAAACATGTTGTCCTTTGAACGGTGATTAACACTGAAGCGAGAAAAATTTAGTGATACTGGTTTTGGTTTTTTTATTTATACGTATACAGAAAAATGAAGTGAACAAAAAAGAGAAGTGCATATAGTTGTTTCTGTTAAAACTCACTCAGCTGCAAAGTTGTCCCAATCTGCCTTTCATCCATTTTATCTTCGAGGACGGATGGTAAAATACAATAAAAAAAAAAAAAAAGGGGAGCTACCTGTCGCTAACCTTTCTGAGTCTAGATCAGAGCAAATGATTGTCGAGCTTATGTCAGTCTTCGCCTGAAGGGCGGTTCTACATAATCACCCTCAATACTTGATTGCAATGTCAAAGTAGTGGAAGCCTACTCCGTTTTGGTCAACACCTTTTTTCTCTACCGGCAACAGCAAAACAACCAATTTTCGTGTTGCTTTCACAGTAAGGCGTTGGACTTGCGAATTCTAAGGAAAACTCCAACAACCGGAAGTTTCATTTGTGTATATAAATCACTAATAAAATTTAAGTGAAACAAAGTGTCGGTGGCTGATATTCAAACGAAGAGAACTGGCAGACGACCCTCTACCATTTTTTGCAGATGGACCACCCACTCCCAACAACACGTCGCCATTAAATGGATTCCAAGGCCATCGGAGCATGATAGGAAATTTAAAAGCGCACGCGCTCTCCCGCATTGAAGGAAATTCGGGGCCTCCCACCCTCTGGCCTAAATCCTATGACCCACATGAACACCGCAAGAAGCTACACAAAGCTCGGACAGTTATCCTTAGCGAACTGCGCACGACCCCCTCGACTCCCCCCTTCCCCCTTCCGACTTTACACGTGAGGACGGCACCATCTGACGACGTGCGCAAACTCACACACTCATGACCCCCACTATACACACTTGATACAGGGGCTCCCCGGACGTCCCTCTTGCCCGCACTGCAGAAACTTCCCCTTCCAACACACACACTCGACGTGGGAATGTCTCCGCACACGAGACCACCCATATCTGTCACTTTACCACAAGCCCCCTCCCTCGCCCCTTGCACCCTACCTCTCTGGAGAACTGGCTCGCCGCACCAAAAACAACACCAACCAGACCTACAACCACTCCTGATCGAGCACGCTCACAGCGCGCTTAATTAAGAGTAGTGGATCTACACAAAATGTACTTCTTGGGCGCCGGACGAGTTGTTTGTTTGACAACAAAGATTACCTCTCTCTCTCTTTCTCTCTCTCACAAAATTTGCCAACTGCCAGTCTAGACGTGGCCATAGTGTTCCTGTCGCCTTTTTTGTAAATTCTATTTCTACGCTAGCAACAAATGAACAACAACGACGGCAGCTATTCTCCATGTCGCCTTGTGGTGGACTCCATGGAATGCTATACGAGTCATTCAACCAATTCAATCTCTTGCGAGAGTCACGCGACATTCACTTAACGCACAGCGATGCGCAACGCGTAGTCACGTCACACGTTCACACGGCGTTGAATTGGCTGGAATGTCTCGTAGAGTCCGCTGCTGCGTTTATTAGGGTCTTTCGGAACAGTTTTCGCACATCCCGTGTGGTACGATGGGCCCTCCGGTACGAACTGCGCATATTCGTGTCTTCTGCGGTTGCGCATGCGCAGCTCCTACCGGAAGGCCCATCGTACAGTATGGGATGTGCAAAAGCGGTTCCCTAACACACTCAGTTGTGAGGTGAACTGGAGTTCCGTGAACGTCGACGACCTTTTCAAAATGTCAGCCTGAGTTCGGGCTCGCTCACCGACAGCGAAGTCTGTGCGGCGACCTCAGATGTCTTGCAGATGGACCAGATGACTCGGGGCTTCGACTCCGCTGGGGTCTGCGTCGGTGCATCGCGCTTGACGGGCGTCTCCGCCGGCGTGGCCATCCTGTGGGGAACGGTGGGCTTTACCGTCGCCGGCAGCTTAAGACACGTAGGGTGTCGTGCATCTTATACTCTCGCTCCGCAGTCAATGAGACTTAAGACGCAAGAAGATACGAAAGTCGGAAGAATCAATGACGGAGGAAGAAGCGTGGGTTTAGAAGCCCCGCTCCGCGTTTCTTAAAACTGAGAGTGACCGTAGCACACAAATGCAACTTGTCTTTGGGTACGTCCGGGTTACTCTACATCCCTATATTCGTACATATTCCATGCGGAACAATATGCGGGTTCTGCAGGATGACGAAACCTTAAAAAGACACGAGTTGGTATATCGCCGTACTCTGTGCAGTGATGTGTATCTCGTTGAGATAGACAACAGCGTATCTCAAAGAGGTGCCCTGTAGTCACTAACGAAATTTAGAACACACATATATCAATTTGTCGTCTATACTCTGTTTCACCTCAAGATAAAAGGATGTTTCGCACATTCTTCGTACGCCGCGCTAAGTAGTTCTTAGAGAAAAAGTGGAGGTGGGGGGGGGGGGGGGGGGGGGGTGCAAGGAGCGATTCTTTTGGCTTCTGAAACGTGCACGTCTTGATGAGATAACATATATTTAATATAAAATGCACCAGCATATACTTTAATTTTCTGCAAAAAATGTAAATTAGCAATGCTCCGCGATGAGCTGGACATTTTTTTATTACGGTTTTTGAGGTGACAACGATTATAGCTGTCACGTGTACAGGTGATATTTTAAGAAGCATACAGAATATCCCTTAGACAGATAATTTTTCTTTTTCATCGCACAGGGACAGGAATCTCAAAGTACACGCGCCCGAATTTTTAGACCTCAGAATAAAACAGGAATATTTTCCATTTAGAACAAGATGGAACCGTTAAGCGGCATATTTTATATAATCTAATTGTAAGGTTGTCTTGACGCTCACGCATCTCTCTTGTGGTGGTGACGTACAGCCGTTTTAATTGTATGTCCTTTCTTTCTGTTTGTGATTCCGCGTGAAACAGCGTGTCACGGTTTGAGCGCGGTAAGTCTTTTCCGATGCTTCGACGCCATATTGAAGTAAGCTATCATTTTTATATTTTGCTGGGGTAGCACACTGTAGGTAGGCGATACTACGACAAGTGCCCCTTGGAAAAAGAAAACTCGGGCCTTCTAGTGAAAAGGATCTAAATGTAGAAAAATGTAGGCGCCGAAAACCACCGCTCGATTCGAAGTGATTAATTGCATACATTCATTCATATAAAGGATCATCGCATTGTTGCTGAGCTTACAATAAAGAAAAGAAAAAGAAAAAGGAAACACCCTTGAAAAATATTTTCCCTAATAGCGATATAAGTGGAGAGAGGTGTCTGAATAAGGTCAGCCAAGGCGGCAATACTTTGCTCGGACTTCGCGCATCTCCCGCCAGGGGCACTCTCAGTTGAAGGGCACTCGCGTAAACGCAGTCGCGCGCCGCATGACCTTGTAAACGTTTGAGCGAATGAAGTTGGTTACTCGAGTGAGTCTCTCCGGTCCCTCGAGGCCCCTTGACATGCCCCTAGGCAGGAATTAAGCCATCTCATGGCGTTTGCCAAAAATGCTAGCGAACCTTCGGCACCGTTCCCTCCGCCGCCGTGACCTTAACTCCAACACCTTTACATCTGGGGTCATCCTATATTTGTCCAAACCTTTCTGCCTGAGGCTCTAGTGTCGTGATGTGATGTTGGTCACGTTTGGGAGCCCTCAGGCTACTGGAGCGCCGTACGTCCGACGACGACGGAGACACCCGTTTCTTCCTGAGGCTGCAAAGATAAACAAAATTACAAGAAACAAAACAGGCACAATAGACGGGCGCGTTATTCACCACTAAAAACCACAACCCGAGGCGCGCTTACTAGCGTTACTATGTTTATCAACGACCTTCCAAACTCGCTCTCGTAAGATATACAGAAATGTCCGCGCATCTGCTTTCCAGACAGGGAGCCAACTAAGATTTCTGTAGAAAGCTCGACCAAGGACAAGGCCACAAAACAAGTGTAGAGATAACATGAACTCAGCAGTTACACGCTGAGCGCGACGCGAACATGTAAACAACAGTACCCAATGTCATACCGTAGACCTACTGTTTGTTTAGCTTTTCTGACCTTTGTCGCTTAATTTTTGAACCGCAGAGTAATATATCGAATGCACGCTGCTTGTTGCCCATACCATAGAGTTATTAAGGCGAAAGCCTTATATCTCTTATCGTTCGGTCGACCTTCAAAGTCTTTGAGCGAAGACACGTCGGCGACATGAAAAGTACGAAAACACGTTGGCGAGACGGGAGGTACCAAAACGAAAGGTACCAATGAAACGGCGTCAAAAGTGCGTCGTTAGAGGGCGCGCTGTCTTTGGAGGTTCGCTATCACGTTTATATCGGCGTTTGGACTTTCGCCTTCAAGTCTTCTTAGGGATAACATAGGAGACCCTGCGAATTTTTACACTGTACGCTAGGGGCTCAACTGGCGCTAGTGTCTATGCGACTTCTGTGGCGCAAATTGAAGCAGACAACAATTCTGCTTTTGCGGTGCTCCTGCGCATTGCTATGGGAAAACGCGTGTGCATTTTGTCTCTTCGCCGGAAAATAATGTAGATAACTTTTGTTATTTGGGTCGTACCGATTAGCATGTTCCTTGATTAACATTGTAAAAGTGTAATTGCTTTAGTTAGCACATTTTTCTTAATGAAGTTTAACTTTGCTCTATTTCAGGCCCAAACATGCGTTCCACAGCAAGTGTAAAATATAAGCGGCGATTGAAAGCAAAATAACAATCGAAAGGCACATAGAGTGTGTTCAAGGCTCACCAGTATTCCGGTGACACTTATATATTGCTAATATGCCAGTCTTTTCACTATGTGAAAATGACCCCGTCTTGCATCTTTACGAGCGGTTAAAAACATTCGAAACGTAAATAATAAAAAAAGGGCTATGAAAGGTGTCTCTTTTTTATTGTTTTCTCTGCCGGGTAGCTTTTGTCGAGCACTTATTCTCACAGATTTCGGGCGTGTGGGCAATGTTTTGAACGTAGAGCATGGCATCTTCGCACAAAGCAGAAAGAATAAAGCAGTACTTACTCATTTAAAGTCGAAATATTTTACGTATCCTTCGATTCATTTTGTTCGTACATGCACGGTTAGTTTCTAATACGGTGCTACTGCGTAGTTTTTGCCGTCTCTCTTGGTTTCCAAATGTCCTTCGTTCGGATGGCACGTATATCCCTCATGCTGAAAAGCGCCGACGTCGTGTTCGCGCTAACTGTGTCCGACAGTGGACAAAAACAGATGTACGAAGCCGGTCTAGCGCCGTTTTTAATGCAATGACTTGAAATAAATACGCCGTAACTGACCAAATATTTCGTCTGCTTGACCGCGAAATGTGCCAAGCTACCTAGTACGTACGAATTATTCGAAATATTTGCTGTTAAGTAACGAAGGATTTTGTTAGAAATAAGAAAGATTTGTTTTAGAAAAGTCTATCTTTCTACAGTTGCGTCGGCATCGTTTTTTGTTTTTTTTAGCTTTCTTTGTGAGTGTCGGCGTTTTGGAGGGAGCATTTGCGGGGGCAGAGCGGCCGGGAGGGGGGAGCGGTTTCCCCGCGGTCGTTAAGAAACGTCTCGGGTTTCGGGAGTCTGCTCGGACAGATCCCTTCTTGCAGCTGGTTGTGGCTTTTAGCCGAATGTGCCGGTATATAGAGGGTTTCGCCGCTTAGTGTAAAATTGTCGCTTTTTGCCCGATGCAATAACTTAGCGGTTGGCGCCAGTCAGACTGGAAAAATTGCAGAGAACAACCCTACAAGGAATTTAGGTTTGGCGGTTACAGCGACAGGATGACAGCTCGCCGACCATTGGACGACAGTGTACCACGTGGGAGTGGTGAAATTTGAAGTGATTGGTCCATCTCTGGAGGGAAAGGAGGCATCTACGAGGCTAGAAAAGGGTTGCCGAGAGGGTTCTCGGGGAATTCGGCTCTTGAGACTGGGGACTAAAGTGTGGGGTTTTAATTTTGGAAGTTTTGGTATAACCGTTGACTTGTCGTTTTGTTTTGAAAATAAACGTGGCCACACTGGCCACCGTAAACCTACCAACGTCGTAATGTGTCCAGCGGGATCGAACAACTTTTAGTTGTTTTTTTTCTTATTCGACTTCCCGAGGGACTACCATCGGGCGAATACCATCATCGGTCGTCAACATCCTGACCGGGCCCCTTCCCCCTCGGAAAGTTGACTTTTGCTCTTATGATCAAGCGCAAGGAGAAAGTGCGCTCCTTTTTTCTCATCGAAATGCATTACCTGAAGTAAATTTTTGACTGCTTCATTTCGCGTCAGGACACTAGTGCCAGATGAACCTCTAGCGTACATCATAATTACCTCTATGGTCCATGCATCCTCTACAATGCAACCCGGTAGCGCGCGCTCGATAGCTGACGACCAGACGCATCACTCCCACAAAAGACAAACAATAAAAAAAAAATAGTGCGCTTCTTTTTAGACGATTATTGTAGTATCATGTTCCCTCTCTGCGAAAATAACATTTTTCGATTACTCTTATTTGCTTTTATTATCTACAAAAGCATACGCATTTTGTATTAACAGGGTTTGCAATCACACAGAAATGTCGCGTTTTTATTGGTCACATATGTCCTGGCTGCCGGAACAATGCTCCCCCATCGCCAGGGATGACCTCGGTGTGGTCGATCTTTGATTGCTTTTCTAATAAGGAAATCGGCCGCGCATCGTTATGATTTATGGATTTGTAGGATGCTTATAGAGCCCGCAGAGTGAGTTATCGCTACTTTTAGGCGATCTTAGAAACCTCCTTAGGGCACCTTTATGCGTAGCAAGTGTTTGTGCTGTGAAGTCGGCCTGTGCTGAGCCACTCTATCACCAAAATATTACAGGAAGGGCGGCCTTCGGTTTTCTTACCTGCCGTAGACTTTCTTCGGGGCCGCCTTGGCGAGAGCGTCGTCCAGGATTTCTCCGATTCGCTTCTTCATGCAGTCCAGCTGCTTCTGCGCTTCTCGGATCTCCTCGTCGGTCGACGTCTTGCCCGAGTTCCCGCTTGCGGCCGGGTTCGAGCCCTGCCAAAATGAGCGATAAAAATACGGCATATGCAAGCCTTCCTGAGTATTGGCTCGTAAATAACACGCAAGCAATGAATCACATTCGAAGGGCATAGTAACACAGGGGATTCGCGTTGTTCTGCATTCTGCTCATTAGGCCGCGCCGATCAGCAGCTTCGCTGAATTCGATGTTTCCTATATAAAAAATGAAAATGGATAGTGAAACCCTCTCTTAGCTCTTGCGGTCACGTAAATAACAATCAGAAAATTAATATATATATATATATATATATATATATATATATATATATATATATATATATATATATATGTAATCTTATTGACAAATGCCTTCTAACTTAAAATGCAAAGTGAACGTAAAATTAGCCTGCAATTTATCTCTAAAAATTGCTGTGGTGAGTTATAGTAATTGCCAACTCAAGAGATGAAGAGCACCACCAATTATGTTCACGGTTTTTTTGCTTTGTGGTTCGCTCTTCATCGTTTCTTTCGGTTAATGTCGTAATCTCATTTGCTGGGGAACAGCGACTATAGACCAACTGAACTCTCTGACGTTACGCTACTGTGGTGGCGCTGCTGTCGGCACTGCGCATGAGCAGATGCTTTGCCTCGAGCGAGTGTGCTTCCTGCGCTTGCGCAGTGCCCATACCCGGTGTGGGCAAACATGGGCTTGTTGATAAACACAGTGTGTCCGTCGAAATAACTTTTTTTTTTTCGTTTAGCCTCGTCCTTAGCCACACAGTTCGCATCTATTCGATATGAGGGACGAAACAAAAAACAGAAAAGCTTCATAAAAACAAAACATTACAATCCTGAACGAGTAAAAAATACAAATGAGAGGCTAAACAATAAAGATTGGCAGCCGTGATAAAAGCGTGAACACGTTCCAGTGGCCTGACGCGGCCAGGATAATGTTTTCCCCCATTCCGCGAGTTCTACGATTCAAGATGGCGACTACTACATGGAAGAAGAGTATGGAGCCATTGGGTGCCACAGCCGTCTCATGATTTTGGAAAAATATTACTTGTCGGTTTCCCGAGAAATCGGTTAAGAGGGGCACGCCGTTTCAACATAACTAAAACTTTTTTTAGCCTTCAGCGTACAATGCATTTCGTATTATAGGTGCAATGACTTTACGGAGTCCTTCATCTCAGAGCACATTTCATATGTTCCCAGATAAGTTTGTCCATGAAGCGAAGTAAAGAATGTTATACGCAGGTTGCGATGATAATAACATTGCGATATATACTGTGACGGACATGTTTGTTGGCCAGCAATCTCAAATAAAGTTCAACTTGAATCCTACTAGTAAATTAACCAGCATTATACGAACCTCGTCTGAGATGAGTGAAGTTGTGACACTGTCTGGAGAGCTGGTGATACCTTTTGCTCTCCCCGTAGACACTGTTGATGGTGTGGAGCGAAGTCTACAAGAAACAAAAAGATTACTCGGCGCACTGATAGATCTGGCACCAGGGTCAGATATTCATCCTGAAATTCGCCATTTTATTCCACCGACATTTACGGAGTTTGCTTGAAGTAGGCTGATCATAACCTTTGATTTTCCACATCTGACCCTAAAAATGTTTTTAAATATAGGCTAGCCTTTGAACGTGTGTAGTAATTGTTTGCTTCGTTTGGAAAGTAGTGTGTTTGACATAAGAGAACAAAAGCTTACACAATTTTAAGAGCACATACTAATACTTTGTAATAATTATATATCCGAAATGTTTAACGCGCACGGGCATGAAGACGCCGCAGATGTTAGCTTTTAAAGTAACTCATTTTACTGTCAGAAAAAAGAATATACCAACTCCCTTAGTTCTAAACAAAGATTCAATACGAATCTTTGTTTAGAACTCCACGAAATGTTCTATATCTTATTAATATATTCCATCAGATTCTGAAGCAATAAAATATTGCAACATATCATATGACATAGATGTCCTATACTCCCAAAAAATAGATGTACATGGCATAAACAAGGACAGAGCTAATTGGTTTGTATTTGGAGACCCAGAACATGCTCCGTAAACCGATGATTAAAAAATTAATTACGGCGAATTAACCGATGATTAAAAATTACGGCGAATTAGAAAAAAATCTCTACTGCAGCAAGATTTCCTGAAGCATACCATACGATTGATCCCGCATCGGACACCTCACCGAAAGGAAAAAAAAAAAGGAATAACTATTTTTGCTCTAAACGACTGGCCTCAAATCAAGTAAGCGTTTTTGCAGTATACCTGAAGCGAACCTTGTTAAAACCGACTATACTCCTTTTCATCTTAGGGTGAACTGTATCTAGCGTCTCTCTTCTTTGTGTTTCCACCAGCTGCGTAGCTCGTGGCATTTTCGGCGGCACAAATAAAAGTCGATTATATTTCCCCTACTCACGGCCGACAGAAGCCCCGAAACTCTTCGAGCTTCAGTGGGCCGTGGACGTGCCGGACGATTTCGGTGACACTGACGGAGCTGTGCTAGGGTGAAACTCACGAAGTATCGCTGTCGCTTCCCGAGTCCAAAGGAGCGGCTTCCGGCCGCAGGCTTTTCCGCGGAAGAGGTTGCGGGCCATCCGTCTCGTGAGCCGGGATTGGAGGCACGCGGTCGTGCAAGCCCTCCGGTGCCTCACCGTGGACTGGTTCGTCTAAAGACAATTAGAAAGTAAGAAATTTCTTTGAAGTTCTAGAAGACCTATGTTGCTTTTACTAGGACGTGGCGCGAAAGAGGCAAGCGATTGGGCATCCAGCGTTCAGGCGAAATAAATATAACTTGAGAATTCCAAGAGCTCGAAGAATTTGAGTTGAGGACATCGCACTTTGTGTTTTAAATGTCATTGAATCAAGACGAGAAATTAGAGACGATCGAAGGGTATTATTATAAACGTGGAAGTTAACATATTGAATACAAATAAGCGGTGGATACCCACGCTTGCACTTGAAGCGAAATGCAGAAAATGCTAGGATACTTTGATTTTCGTATTTCAAATATTCTAGTTTTTACTGACGCTCCGAGGTTTTGTTACTAATTCCTCATGTTAGCTAATAAATGGTATTTGCATATTAGTAACGAAAAACCGACTGAGTTCGTCCGAGCGCACTTGGTGCTAAAAACTTATTTACTTATTTATTTCTCCGTCTTGATGTGACTGCTTTATGAGTGACGGTGGCTGAGTCAAGGTGCGGTTAACTGTGTTTATTATAGCGAAAGAAAAGTGTCTAGTCAAAACCCCCAGAGAAGATGCTCTGTGCTGGTTTTGACAAGACGCTTTTCTTTCGCTATAATAAACACAGTTAACCGCACCTTAACTCAGCCACCGTCACTCATAAAGCAGTCACATCAAAAAAGAACTCTCAAGTGAAAGAAAGATGGCGACGAGAACAACGATATCGAAGCCCTCATCCAGATGTCCAATATCTGACAAGGCAAGTCGCATCAGTCTAATTCTGGAATGTTCTCCTTCTACGTTCCCCAAACCTCTAACTTTAAGACCGGGTCCTTATAAAGGCTGCATATGAAGCTAAGCCAGATGAAAGCATCAGAATGTAAAGTCAGTTGTCGACGCTTTGCCACTTTACCGTCTCAAACCCGTGATCCCTATTTCTCTGCTTCGTTCTTTTTGCCTCGGCAACATAGTAATTGCCAGTTCTCTTCACGCGTCTACGACTAAAACGATCACTTTTTTTTTCTTTCTAGTGAAATTGATTTGTAATGTTCCCTAAGTAAGCTATACTTTAGGAAATATTTACGAGATTTCGTGCTGGCGTCTTTGTCTCACCGTTGACGTAAGCGTGGTTTTCGGACGTGACGTTAGTAACGGTTGATATTCGATGCCTCCGGTCAGGGTCAAATGCCTGGTTGATGTAATACTCCGATATCTTCTTGGGTCTTGGGTAGCTGAAATCAAACGGTTGTCTTTTAGTGTTAATGCTTTTTGGTGAGACCTTGACGACGAGTACCAGTTTGCTTCCATGCTAGATGTTTGCCGTTTCTTTTTTTTTTGTTATTCCTTCAGTTTCCCCAGGGTGCATCAATACGCGCCTAAGCAACGCAAAATGTAAACGATTTCTTTTCTTTTATTCCTTCAGTCTCCCCAGGGTGCATCAATAGGCGCTTAAGCAACGCAAAATGTAAACGATAAAAATCACTCCCTTGATATCACCTCCACGGAGAATGTTGGTGTCCCCCTGCCCCTTTAAGAGACGCTCATTTTCGTGTTAATCATCGCTTTGTTAAAAAAAAACAAAAAAAAAAAAAACACTTAGCATTAACATCTCAGCAATGGTAATACCTTGTCTAAACAATGATTTGCAGTGGGTTACACATTAGGTCATCTTTCCTGAGATTTCTAAGACCGATATTACGAAGGAATCCTCTCATCCAAAGTTTCGTTGTTTATAAGGAAACGTTGGCTTCGATTCTCAATTCTAGCTGAAGCCTTCCAGCTTCTGTTACTTTGGGGCTCCTTTTTTTTTTACTGTTCTTTTGCTAAGTATTATTATTTTTTTAATCACTTACGAAGTATGTGGCGTTCGCTCCTCCGGTGATGCGGAAGGTATATGAATTGGACTGGTGAACACGTCTTTGTAGGACTTCTCCGCAAGCGTACCAAACGTGCCGGGGGATCCCTCGAACATCTACGGCAGTCAAACAGGTTTCATGCGGTAACACAAACGCAACCAAACACGTCTCCAAATATTCCGTAATTGCGACAGCGTCCAGCCTTGACTCGCCCAAAACAATACCCCGGTGGATGCTAGGTATCATAATAACAAAAACATTCTAAGAAAAAAAAATTGGTGTTTTCACAAAAACTTGTTCGCCATTACAAAACCTGCTTTTAAAATTGAGGCCACCAACTACAGTTAAGCAAGAAATCAAACCTGCGTGAATCGCTCATGGTAAATAATAATAATAAATTATCATTTTTAAATTTGCCAGCGCACTTGGCCTATATTGACATTTATAGCCTTATAACAAGGTGGGAGGTGACTTTCCTTCTAATTTCTTTATATCAATGCAGCTATTCGTGTCATTTTATTATTGAGTCATGCGAAAGAACATGCCTTTTGCACAATCAACGACGCTGAATAATCCTACTCCAATAAATATTAAAGACGAATCACAAAGTAAAACTTTTCAGAATTTATTAACGCGACAAGCCGATGTTAGTGGGGTTAATGAAGTCATGACTTAGGCGCAAAATTGAAATTCCTCGGTCGTAGTACGCACATAAATTAAATAAATAATAATTAAATAAACAATAAATAGGGCACCTATTGGTTGAAGACCGGTGGCTTCGCTTGCTTTCCATAAGAGTTAAGTCTTTTTCTTTCTTTACTTATTCCTCGGGCAAGCTCGCTCTTTGCAAATTTCTCAGAAAAAATGCACCACCTGTGGGCAACGCTGAACAAAATCGTAGCGCAATAGGTTAAGAAACTGAATTTTGCGGTCGATTTAAAGATCCTGGCCGCTATTTGGGACAGCCAGTAGTTCACGTGGGACGCTAGGCTTAGCGTCCCACGTGACACAGTGCTTCTGAAGGCGCACGCTTTCCACTGTTGTTTGCTGCAAACTAGGTCGGTTGAGGAGATCTTCCTCTAAAAGCCACAGTGAACGCAGAACAGCTCACACTCATAAAAATAAATCAGCTGAATGAGCTACGCTCCTTCAGTACGCCGCAAGCGCAGCCATGTTTGTTCTCGTGTGAAGCCGAAGCGGAAAGGCAGGCTCGGGATATTTTTGAAAACCATAATGACTCTATCTATATTGTTTGTTTCTAAAACATAAAAAATATTGTCGATAGAAATAAATTACGGCAAGGAAAAACAATTTTAAAACGGACATTTCACTCGTCAATTATCTTTTTGACCAATAAAAGCCGCGAAAAGGTGCTTAGTTTTGTAAGCACCGGGCGGTGCTTAGAGCAGGGCTATGTCCATTAAATTGCGTGTAACAGCGCAAATATTGCTACATTTATTTATTTTTTTTTTTGTGGGGGGGGGGGGGGGAGAGGTACAAGAATAATTAAGAATATATATATATTTTTTTTACTTCAGTGTTTATTAAGAGTAAGGATACTTCAGCTAATTTTGGGCTTTAAGTCACTTTTGCCACTCGTCTGAAGCTTTATCTAGTCTATCCCGCGGAAGAGCAAAATGGTGTCACCTGATTTTCCTGACACCGCGTCTCACCCTTAGACATTTTTTTTTTTTTATGACGATTGCCGATTGCATTTGCCTTGCACCAAGTACCAAAATGGTGGAGTCGAGAATAAAATCGAAAAATGGGATGCCGATACTCTAAGCGTCGCCTAGTTTTTTGCTCTAAGTATGTGCGTTATTAAAAAGATGTGCGTGATGAATACGTTTTCGATTCAACGAAAAAGAAATACTTACTTTGAGTCTGTTTTCTCGCCCGTACGAGTGGATGGAGCCGGAATCCCTCAAAGAAGCTCCGGCAAACTTTGGGCGACAGCATTTGCAGTAGATGATTAGAAAGACAATCACGAATACCAGGATTCCCACCAAAACGCCAGTCACGATCCAAACCAGCGGGACCGACGATTTTGCAGGGGCTGGTTTCAAGTAAGCTGTTGGAACAAATAAACGGGTTATCATATATTTCATTGGCAACACCTGGTGTAAGAATGTAGACCAATTATGGTAAATTGCGGCTTCATGGGGAACTATAGAGATGTAGGACTACCAAAGTTCCTATGTTTTTTTGCGTCATTCTTCTCTTATCAACCTAAATGTATACTTTAGTTTTAGGTGGTAACCTGGACAAAAAAGTGCGCGCTCTGACCACCTACAGATATTTATTTATTGTTTTAAATATTGAATATTGAACAGAAAGTTAGGGGGCAAACGAGCTGGTGATGGTTCAGGCTACTATAAGAAAACCATGGGACGATATGCAGTATTATATATGCTGCTGGTACGCCTTAAAACACCTAACAATCACCATCCTTGCTGCCGTTGTCGTCGGGATAATTATCGTCTTCATTATCAATATTATTATACAAAATTTCAACTTCACTATTCCTAAGCACGACACACATATCTTTTTTTTTTTTTCTACTGGGTGATTCAAGGAGTGGCCAGTCTCTTTAAATCGACCGCAAAATTCAGTTTCTTAACCTATCGAGGTACGACTCTGCGTTGCCCACAGATGGTTCATTTTTTTTGTAAAATTTGCAAAGAACGAGCTTACCTGAGGAAAACGTAAAGAATGAAAAAGGCGTAACTCCTATGAAAAACGCAGCAAAGCCACCGGTCTTCCAACCATAGAAGATCGGTGGCTTCGCTGCGTTTCCATAGGAGTGAAGTCTTTTTCTTTCTTTACTTTTTCCTCAGGTAAGTTCGCTCTTTGCAAATTTTACAAAAAATATTCGCCATCTGTGTACAATGCTGCAGAAGTCGTTGCGCGATAGGTTAAGAAACCGAATTTTCCGGTCGATTTAAAGAGACTGGCCGCTCCTTGAATCACCCAGTAGAAGGAACTTTGCATCTTTCATTTTCCACACCTAAACGACTCCTTCACTATAGAGTTTGATTTTGCGTTTCGCACTCGTTCTACTATGCGGTTGTGTCAAATTATTGTTGCAGTCTCCCCGTGAGAGTAAAATCGATTAAACAATATAGTCACCCTAATTGCTTTAGTTTGTGAGTCATCCTTGCGTGAAACTGTTATTAAAAACAAAACAAAACGAAAGACGCGAGGAATGATAGTCATACAGACCTCTTCATTCTTTGTGTGTGTCTTTGCCCCACTTATTTTTAATGGTGGTCTTCTACCAACTATGGTCTTTGACGGTCTATTCATTGCGCTTCTTGCTTTGTGGTTTGTTATAATCGGCGTTTGTCTCAGCTAACGTCGCAATCTTATTGGTCAAAGTGATAATAAGATGCTCGAAACGCGAAACGCCCTGCCTTTCTTTAAGCTATCAATGACTACAGTCAACGATTTCAGAGGACCTCAAGCCGACCGCTACGACCCGCTTTGAACTGAACCATATGGAACTCACGTTCCGCCTTGGTGACGACCTGGTACCCCAGAAGCCTGGACATGTCGGTCTCGTTTACCGACGCCATGGCGTCGACGGCAAGCTGCACCGGGACAGGCTTGCCCTCTTGGGACAGCGTGTACACGAGGGACATGAGGCGCTCCTTGTAGTCCACGGACAAGTTGACCACCTGCCGACGAACCAGTGTTGCGACGGAACGTCTCCCTCAAAGACGCGCAGGAAAAATGGTCAGATGAGAAGAGTTCAAATGTCCTCTTCCCCGCAGCTATATATCATTCGATCCCTTAAAAAGAATACTGTAGGACTGCCATTGCCTACATAGTAAATTTGGTGGGACGTCGCCCCTTGAGACGTCTGACCGATGAAAGAGGGCACAAAAAACTTTCGGAAAGTGGTAATATTAAAAATAAGATCGGCGTTCATTGTTGAGTGTGCGGTTTAATTAAAACACCCGTTCTACGTTTACTGAGAGCTTGAGAAACGCGACTGGTTTGGGGAGGGGGGGGGGGGCGGGGGGGGGGGGGTGGTTGAGGGTAATAACATCTCGCTTCTTGATTCAAAATACGTTTTTCGACGTTCTTATTAGCTAAGGCCTAAATCTGATCAGTTTTCAGGCGATATTAATATTCTCGGAACTAGCCATGCCAGTGACTTTAACAGAATATTAAAAAAAAAAAAAAAACTTGCGACTGCGTTTTGTGTTTTGTAAATTTGGTAGCTTCACAGCTTAAAGGAATACTAAACCGAAATTTTAATTTCGCAAAATGAGGCCGCAGAAACGTTGAACGGGCGCTGCGAGCTTCAATACATCACTCATACTTCGACATTTCAGACGGATGGCGTGTTTTTGTAAAAAAAAAAAAAAGGCTTGATCAAGCGAGGACTATACATGATGTCACCATCCTCCTGCAACAGTTGAGAATGAGGGGCAACGTCAGTTCATTGCCTGACAAAGAGGTTCATGAAACCTCATTTTATGCTTGTTTAATAAAAAAATACGTTTTAGTAAGTTTATTTAAAGAAAAGTTGGGAATCTTAACATTTTATAAGTAAACCGGACATATGCATGAACTTTTTTAAAATTATAACATACCAATCATGCCTTATTTTTACTAAAAAATACAAAGTGTATACCATAAACACTATAATCATGTTACAAGCCTATATATACATATATAAGAGTTATGTGAAATATTTGGCAACGGCCCATATATTTTCATATCTTAATGGAAGTAAAAAATATGTCTTGTTTTCGAACGCACTGCTTAATATAACGAAATTATATATGTCAATAAAAAGTGTTGTTTCTTCCACATAATCTATAACTAAATTAACAACGTTAATATCTTACATTGACTTGGTTCAAGCTTTCATTTTATATGTTTCTTGTGCCTTAGATAATTGTACATCTAAAGCTAGCTCGATTCAAACTTGGGCTATCATTGTCAAAAATGGAAAATTAGAGAATTTCTATTTTATAAAATAAACTTAAAACAAAAACACTTCTAGAGATCTTTAACCCTTCCATACGTAGTCCTAAAATAGTAAAAAAGTTATAATTCTTGCTAAATAAATAATCTAAAAGTTTCGAGACATTATATATATATATAAAAGGCCCGTTCTATGTTCACTGAGAGCTTGAGCAAAGCGACGGGTTCTCCACGGTGCCGAGAAGCGCAACAATTGCAAACCGAAACTTAGAAACTCGTCGAAGTTGTGCGGTTTTTCAGAAAGCCGTAAAATACCGCGCGTGCCGTCTATCGTTTTAAAATTTGTAGATTTATTGTTGTTCAATGATGCTCAGCAAGATTCTAATTGGAACCATGCCCTTAAACTCAATATTTAAAAAGAAAAAAGATTAATTACGTAAAACGAATTAACGACCCTGTTATCCCGAAGTTTAATGTTGTTGTTTTTTTGTTTTTTTTAAGTAGGCCCCTGGCCTAAAACCAAAACAACATAAGCCTTTTTTGGTGCGATGTGTAGTTTTCGCAATTCCGAATTTGTCCACCTTTCCTGAAACACACTGTGTGTGTGTGTGGGGGGGGGGGGGGGGGGGGGGAGGGTTATATAAACATCGCGTCTCGTTACTGAGTTTTACGGTGTTCAAATTGAGTGTCTTTTGTGTCAATTTACAATGTAATACCCCAGCTTCCTATGTCAAATCAGGTTTTAAAACATCGGGGCTCTTACAGTCAGTTTCTAAAACCACTTTTTTTATGACAAATTGTGTTCCGATAGATACTCTTGCCTGACTGCATGGAAAAGACATGTCAGCTGTAGAGTGAAGCATTTTTGAGAAGTAATTTACTTTGGCTAGTTTTGTGACTGAATCAAGCAAAGTGAGTCGCATAGTAATAATAGATACCGGGCCAACCGTCGGATTATGTTTATCAAGAGCCCTTGTAATTTGAATTTCCAAAACTTTTATTCCGATCACAAACACATATGGCAAATTCTTACTAACATGCACAAATACTAACATGAACGCATGATAAATATTATTTGTATAATAATATTGGCGTTACCGATTCCACTCAAAGCGAAAGAGCAAGCGAAGGGTTGTGTCATAAAAATGCCAGTAGTCCGACGGCATACCTGCACCGCCATAGACCTCCCGGAATATCGTTTTCCTCTGCGTGGCGCCTGTTGATGTGCGAACGCTTTCTCGTAGACAAAAGCCAGATGACTTGCGAGTTTTTCCGTATCCGTCTGGTTGAAGCGATGGACCCGCAGCACTAAACACAAAGAGGAGAATTCAGTTTTCCACGGGAAGCCTTGGTGTATTTCGTGCAATTCAAGTACCGCAGCTGTACACAACTTCTGTGTTAAGTCGTTATCTTTTTTTCAGTGCGTTGCGAGTGCTGGTGCCATTAAAATGTTACGCCCAAGACAAACTGACTGAGTCATCGTGTCTTCAAGTATTACATTAATCGCGGTCACAGGTTTATTCAATATTTAGTGCCAGATTATGAAGCTTAGACAACAGCAATATTTTCTTAGGATTATCAGAAATTTTTGTAAAATAAATACATCATGTTTTTTCGATTTCCAGCACTTTACTTCCCCACCGAGCACTCGTAGAGAAGAGTTTGAAAAAATGAAGAAGCCGAAAAAACGTTTCGACCCAAATATGAATTTCGCGATGTGACATCAAAACTTCATAAAAATGTTAAAAAAAGAACTGACTGTTTAATGCCACGTTGCATACGTTATGTCCCATCACAAACATTGTCACATCGCAGGCATCGCTAAGTGCGCGGCAGAGTTAGCACAACGACAACATCGCGATTTCGCCTCAATTAACTCCTGTTTGAGGATGTCAAGAAACAAGTTTGCCCACCTACGTTGGCGTCGCGTATGCTTGGATCTCATGACACAATTAGATTTAATGGAAGACGCTTAGCCCTGTCAACACATAATGCTCGTGGTCACTTGTTCTGTTTAACTCTACGCTGCACCCCGTACGTGCGTTCAATTCTATCGTAGTAAACGAAAGCTGCATTTTTAACGTCCGATTATATTAGACTCGTCAATAAAGGATGCTTATTTCCCTGGTGAAAACTTGCATGAATCTGAGCACTTGAACATGATATAAGTTGATGTTCCCTTAGTTACAACCAATTTAATTTATATCAGTTCTGGTGTGTTTATGGCACAAATCACAGGAAACAATACTGTTTTATTTTCAATGGGGAGAGCGCCATCTGATAGAGCCAGTGCATAACCACCCTATGGAAAAGTGAAAGAAGTCATATATATTACGGTAACGAAAGAGGGATATAGAAGACAAAAAGACGACACAGGCGTCGTCTGTTTGTATTCTATGTCCCCATTTCGTTGTCATAACTTAGGCATTAACACGCTTAATCACCCTTTCATATATAATCGGCTAATATACATATTGGAACTTATACAAATCATGTAAGATATATATGAATATATACATATATATATATACAACTCAACATAGTGATCACTGCGCTTGTTCCCTTCCTAAGGATGCCAACCTGTCTTGATCCAGAACTTCATCTTGTCGTTCAGCTCTTGCCAAGATGGTGGAGTGGCGTTCGAGGGAGATCCGTGCGGCTGCATCATTGCGGTGGGCCAAGGAGTGGTCACCGGTGGACCGATGTTCCAGTCCGGCGTCGCGGTGGGTCGAGGTACGAACCACCTCGACATCGTCGTCAGGAACCAGTCCCTCGTTCTCGTCACCGGCGGATCCGAGGCGTACCACGGTAAACTTGGATTGATAACGTGATGGCTGTGAGTCGCCCTGGGCGAAGGGTACCCATTACACACGTGTTTGGAGCGATCAAAAGAATACGCTTAAAGCCGCGATCACAATGGCTATATATACTACATCATACAAAAGACAGACAGCAAACATTGTCTCAGGCCTTTTTTTATGTCTGTCTTGATACATTTATTATATAAAAAAAACTAATTGCAGAGATGTTTGAAGCAGACTTATGTACGAAGCAAACTTGCTTGAGGCATGTCCGCACATCATTTTCTCAACATGTATGCAACAAACGCTGTGCTTATTTTTTTTTATGTTGTACGAACTGTGTGAACTCGGTTTTAGCTTCAAAGAGGCACCGCAAGTGCTAAGATGATCCGCAATGCCGTCGCCGAGGGGTGATGTGAGCTTCTGCATATGTGAATACGGGTGCCCAAACTTTGATGCTTCCACGATCGTCGCGACTTCTGTATGCATCGCTTGCACGGAATGGGAGAGCACCGTGCTAGTAATCAGTCTTACTTACTCGTGTAAAAAAATGTTTTTTCGGTGGTGTAAAGTGTGTTATTCGGAATGTTTCGGCAGCAAAGCCACAACAATTGCCTCTCATGTGACGTCAATGCAAGTCCTGTACAAGATTTTAAGTGCGAAAAGTCACAGCTTCCGTCATATCGTGCAGATCACTAGATGAAAGTCACCAAAGAAATACAGCATGGGTTGAAATGGACTGGATGGACTTAAAAACTGACCGAATAAATCGGCTTCTCAACGTATTGCGATGGGATTTACTACACAGGTGCTCGAAGTTGGTGCACTCATTAATTGAGAGTATGAATACATGAAACCTCGGGAGTCAAAATTTAAAGAACAAAAACTGGTTTTGTCTGTCAGAAAATTTTTCTGTACATTTCTGGCGTTTACTACAGTTGAAACATTTGTTAAATGGAAAGAAAATTGAATTGGCTTACCTATTCTTCACCTAACTTGGCCCAACCTTTCCCAGCAGTAACCCATAATATTCTTAGTTTAGATACAAAGTATAGGAAAAACATAGTATTTTTTTTTCTTGGTTAGTCAAGTGAGTCAATCTTTCCACAATTTTAGCGAAAGCTTCCACCAACTTCAGGCACCTCTGTAGTAAATCCCAGCGCGATAAGTTAAGAAACCGATTAATGCGCTCAATTTAAAGTGCGTTCATTCCATTTCGCCCACACTGTATATTCTGTCGCACAAGCTAAGAGAGTTTTTTTTTAATTTTATCCTTGCACACATCCTGCCGTTATAAATCTTAACACGACATTATACCTTTCAACATGTGATTCTGATTGTTTTAGCTTGCTTGTTTTTATATTTGCTTTTGTGGATTATTTTTGTGGACTATTTTGTGGATTATTTGTGGATTATTTTTGTGGATTAATTAACAACCTCTGCACTATTCCTACAGGCTTATGTTTCACCAGCCGGTTCTTTTTCGACATCTGCTATATCACACCTGCTATAGTGCGTTCGCGCTGCAAGTTTTTATTTATTATTTATTTGCGCATAGATGAGTAAAACAACATTTACGCCCACCCTCTTTAATCTTTTTAGGACGACGCGTCCAATATATTTTATGTTTAATTAATTTCTGCAACAAATCTAAATGACTTGCACATTGCTGCGGTCCCTTTTGGGAGAGGTACCCATACTTAAAATACAGCTTTAATATTCTACGTAAATGTTTGTGTCTGAATTTTTTTTTAAACGCAATTACGTAGCCTCAGGTGAGAGTAGACACGTGTTCGTATTCGACAGACTGTCAGCTTCGTGTTAACAAAAAAACAGAAACAGTGGGGTGATTCCACGTCAGTTCATGCAATGGTGGTCCGGGTCATAATTTTGATATTTCTGTTGAAAATATATATGAAAGCCATGTTCTTGGGAGGAACATTCCGCTAGATATGAACGCCGTAACGTTTTTTTTTTTTCGCTGAGATATAAAATAAAGAAGCTCGAGGCGTGGAAATTGAGAAGATTTCACTATGCTACTTTGCACAATCGTCATTTTCTCATCGAAGCTTTCACCTTACCGTAACTTTTTTAATAAATTTCACAAGAGATATACAACACATACCCAAAAAAGTAAAAATATCAATAACATATTTCTATGCAAACAAAAAAGTCAAACATGGCATAAAAACACGTTTTAGAGACATATTCACAATTTTTTTGCAAATAAACTATCTTCTATAATACTTCACAAAACATATCAAACTGCGCGCCTTTGAATTATCTTTACGAATGTAAAAAGATAATAGGCCCACCCTTAATTGTCTTCTTGTTATTAACGCGGAAATGCGGCTGATTTCACAAAATGTGTCAAGATTGGGCGTCGATATTTAAAAAACTCCATCTTTTATATTTTTTAAACTCCCCTTGGCAGTTTGCAGTGACATGAACTAACTTGTGATGGCAAAACATTGAGTAACATATGACCTCCGAACGGGAAAAGCTACGACAAACCTTCACTCGGAGCGAGCCGACGTCTCGTTATAGCGGCTTTGCTGCATAACGTCCCCTTCATGGAAGCGTCAAAAGCTGGAAAGCGGGACTCTGTCGTAGAGAGCGGAAAGTCGTGCTGTTCCGAGCATTGCTTTATCGTTGTGTGACTAACCCCCCCCCCCCCCCCCCCCCCCGTCCTCTTCTCCCCGCCCCTTAACACGAGCAAGAAACGCCTGCGAACGTCACTGCTTGCGGTAGTTAGTAATCGTAAGCACATCACATTGCCTTGAAACCCAAAGCTGTGAAGAGTCAGTTACGGCAAAATAAGGCGAGAGTAGTTGTAACGGAAAATATGCATGTCAGTTGGTCAGGAAACATTTCAATCGAAACCAAGAGACGAGGAAAAACAAAAATAACGGACAGTGCGAAACGAACTCTCAAACGCAGCTGAACTTATTCACAAGAAGAACGACAATAAATGCATGTCCACGCGGAAAGAAATAAAATAGGGAAGATCGAGACATGCGACCGCAAAGACTTGACCGAACCTAACCAGACAAACTAAATCACTCCAAGGTTAAGGACAGCAACGGGAACGGGCACCTCTCCCAAGGACCTGAACAGATGCGAACCGACCGAGACCGAACCCCTAACCCCCCTTCTATTTTACTGCCGTAACCCCCTTCCCCAACACACACACACACACACACACACACGCACGCACACGCACACACGCACGCACGCACGCACGCACACTCCACTCCACTCCACTCCACTCCAACCACCGAAAACCCCAAAAACATTACAATATAAAAAACTTTTAGAAGGTAAAAAAAAAAGAAAAAAAGACGGCTGACCATCGCTATGCTTACAGGAGACTCGGTATCTTTATTGTTCAATAAGTGGTACTACAAACAAACAACACCAGCTTAACCATGCGCGACGCACCGATTATATCTACAATGGAAGACAGAACTTGATAACCACAAGGACATTTTCTTTCCGAACTCTGACCGGATATTCGGAGCCGGGAGAGAGGAATTCAAAACCTCTGAAATAGGCGTTTGCGAGGACGTTTGAAGTTCCGTCATTTACGAAGCGAGTAAGAGTCTAGTGTCAAATCGAACAGCCATGGCCCAGCGATTCAGCACCGTGCGATTGTTCTGTGTGGACTGTCTACGGAGACACAAGAAGAAAGTGTATAGCGATAAGCACCTCGTATCGGTAGGGAGACTCAACAAAGTGCGGTTGGAAAAGCTACTGGCTCCACGGACAGCGGACGAATCTGGCCTTTTTGCCAACATTGCTACAAATACCTCCAGAATGAGATTGCTTCTCCTCACAACGTGAGTACATCAGACTCTTCTTTCCGGGACTCTGATGAAGTTCTGGCTGAAGTGAGTCAAGAATTGTGTGCTGGTAGCTCCATTGAAACCACGTAAAACCATAAAAAAAAAAGGCGCGAAGCATATTTGAAGAAAAAACAAGCTCAAGTGAGTTCTTCGATTAGAAGAAAGCTGTCAGGCGTTGATGGCATGAAAACCGGCGAAGACAGTTGTGAGCACTGCGCAGAGTGGTTTGACGCGTTCCGCGAAGCGCTGAAGGCATGCAGTTCCCACCAGCAACGCAAGCGATTGTACACGCTTCTGCCACCAGGCATCTCGAAAAAAGAAATATTGCGTCTGGTGCCAGAAGCGACTGCCTACATGATTGATCGAACAAGGAAACTGAAGCGTAAAGGTGGTGTATGGGCAACCCCTGATCCCTACATGGGGGAAAAGGCGAATGCCGAAGACGTGAGAGTTGCACTTGAGTACTACACACGCGACGACCTCGCATGCTCTATTCAAAGCCCCAACAAAAAGGACGTCTTCAAAGCCATGATCAACGACAACAAGACCAAAGTCGTAAAAAGGTTTATGACCCACTCTATTAAGGAAGCTTACCAGCTGTTTAGGAAGGACCATCCCCATCGAGAAGTAGGCATCTCTAAGTTCTATTTACGACCAAAATGGGTAAAAAAAGAGTCCCGAGCATGAGGTGTGCGCTTGCATATATTGCGTCAATTTTCAGTTGATTTTAACGGCAATAACAAATGCCTCACAGGAGACATTTACTGAAGACGACTTCAAGCGCATCTACGTCTGCAGCGCTCCACAAAACGATTGCTTCCTGCGCCGTTGCGAAAAGTGCCCAAAAATGCAGAGCATCTCGCTGCAGTCGCTCCATCTCGACGAAGACGAAGAGATCTGTTACGCGTTATGGGACGCCGGCGAACTCGTCAAAAAGGTTATGGACACTTCCGCTTTCCTAAAGGAACTGGAGTCAGGGAGCGAAAAGTATATGAGGCATTCTTACATCCGTGACCTTCAACGAAGCCTGATACGTGACACAGGAACCGCCTTACCACCCAAGGCAGTGATGTTCCACTTCGATTTTGCGGAAAATTGGACAGTCATCTTCCCAACCGAAGTGCAGAGTTTTCATTGGAAAAAAACTCAAGTGTCTCTCTTCACATGTGTGGTTACGTCCACGCAAGGCACGGAAAGCTTTGCCGTTGTCAGCGATGACACAACACATGACACAGCTCACGCTCTTCTAGCCACAAAAGCCATAGAAGAGTATGTTGATGAACATTACCCGCTCTTTTCTGAAATAATTTTTCTATCAGACGTAGCTGCGGCGAATTTCAAAAATCGCTTCCAACTGCACGAATTATCTCGGGAGCCGTACTCTTTGGCATCTTTTCAGCCACTGGACACGGAAACAGCGCTCGTGATGGATTAGGTGGTGTTCTTAAACACCACGCAACGCTCACCAACTTGAGATCTTCGCTCAACTCAACGATTGTCACCGCTAAAGACTTTGTGGAAGTGCTGCGTGAAAAAGTAACAAATGTCTGCATGTTCCACCTGTCTGCGGAACGGGTTCGAGAGTTTCGTGCGGTGAAGCAAGTAGAGTGGGCCACCGTAGAACCTGTGAGAGGAATCCAGGCA